TGAAGATTATTTTAGCCCACGTAAATTATTATTTTAAGTGTAAGCGACTGGAATTTTGGTAAATAGATCATTCCAGTGTATATGAAATAATTGGGGTATAACTATGTGTGTTATACATTAATAGTAAAACTTTGTAAAAACTTACACTTGCATATAAATTTTTCAAAACAAGTGATGTAGAGTTTAAACTGACACAAAAATACTGAGAAATTAAAATAAATTATAAATGTAGTTGAAGTATTTTTTATGTTAAAAATTATTGTATAATTTGTTTGAAAAGTTTTTTTATGATAAATGTAATAAATAATTTAAGTATTCATTAAAAATAGTAACGTTAATTTACATCGAAAAATACAAAATGGGAAATTTTTGTTAATTTTATATAATTATTCATACAGCAAATTCTTTGGTAAACAAATTCATTTAATTATTGTTTGCGTGCCCCTAAGATTTAATTCAAAGTNTTATTGTTTGCCTGCCCCTAAGATTTAATTCAAAGTTGTGTCAGAACTGATTTTAGATAATCGTAAACACAAAACAGCTGAAAAGAAGTATATTTTTTATTTTTATTGTGTCTGGATGTTATACATTGCCTGCGGTCTCTTAAGTCTTATAACTTTGAAGGACAATGATGTACGAGCTCATTATAACTTCATTTCAAACTGTAAATCGTCTTTTCAAATGAAAAACGAATAGAAAAGAACGGTTTTATTAATCTTGAACTTATCTCCTCCTACAGCTAGTGTACTTAAATTACAATTAAATTGTTAAAATAAAATAAGAATAAAAAGGTTACTACGATCAAACTTGTGAGCTTAGCATAATATGAGTTTTTAAAATTTTTAAACAACATAAATAAACATTTTTTTTGAAGGTTTTAGTAATTTAAAGTTCAGTAATAATGGATTCCTTACAATTTATTATTCAGTTTTGCTCAACTCCACAAATAATTGAAAAAAATTAAAAAACTTTCGATATTTGTTATACTTAATTTAAAAAATAATTCTTATTCTTAAATTGAAGTTAAAAAAAATACGATCTTATACATTTATTGTACGAGATATTTTCTATTTTATTTTATTTTAACTTATGAATACAATTTTTATTTGTTGTAAAAATTATAACTTGATATTGAACATAAAAAAAATTATGGGTGGATTTTAACATAGTAAGCTTTATTTATAACGTTCTCGTTTAATAATTGGATATTTTTAAGTTTAGCGAAATTTTGTGTGCATTTTTAAGTTAATTATATTATTTGAATGCTCATTAAAATTGGATGAACGCAGCGCCCGGAGGTACTCACTCGGGTTCGTTGTTGTATTTTGTCTTAAGTCAGGCTTTTTCGAGAAAAAAAAATAAGGCGAGTGGACTGTATGAATGAATGTAAAATGAATTTTGAAAACATGTAACAATTAAATGCATTATACATGAATCGTAAAATCTTATATATACACCAATGTGGACAGGGGGGGACATTTAATACCATTGCCACAATGGCGCTGATATAAACAAGTAATGGAATACAAATGTCAATAAATCTTAAAATGAAGATGAGCAAGTATTATACTTATCGGATCATTGTAACGGATGATGATAATGTTGAATATCGAGTGGATCAATTGAAGTCGAATGCAATTTGCTGACCAACGTGTACTATATGCCGTGAATGGTACTGTGATGTATCTCAGTAAACAAATAGACCCAAAGGCGATATACTGAGAGCGCACAAGGATACGGTAATAGTAAAGGTGATATTTCACTTTTTGCAACAAACAAAAAACAAACTATGGGCTCTCAAGTGTCATAGAGCTAAAAAGCGCTAAGATGGCGGTGACAATGCAAACAGAGAGAGAAGGCCCATAACAACTCGGTGTAACACAACGATAGCATAAGTTATCACAACACACAATTCTACAACAGCACATAGGACCAATGTGTATCCAACAAAAATTAAAGTTTTCTCTTCAAAACAGAAGAGACCACTAACAATTTCATTACATAAAAAATTAATAATGCTCTTGAATAACTTTATGTTAGATCATATTACTTAAGCTCATAATACAAGAAAGTATTTAGAACTACTTCCAGTAGTTGTAACTACGAAAACTTATTTTTTTTAAACACAGTATACGTGTATGAGATCATTTTTTGTTTTTGCTTAATTTAGTGTTATTAATTTATTAAATGACGTATGACTATGTACTCATATGTTATTAACTGATTATTTTTCATTAAAATTTTTATCTATTTTGAATTAAAGATAAATGTATTTCTAATTAAAAAGTAATTCCTACTAAGGTTTCATACCTTAACGCTTTTAAATATCTTTTATAAATTACAGAATTTTCACAAAGTTAATTTAATCAAGTTAAAATGAGCTATAAAAGAACTATTAGCGCTTTAAGTGCTTATGTTTTTAATAGGTTAGTTGTTAAATCATAAGTGCTAGTTTTTAGACGGATCGTTTGACGAAACACCACTTAAAATGTTTGATAAACTAGTCTGATTATGCAAATTTTAGACACGTAAAATACAATTCAGCATTTTTTAATGTTTGTACAATTAAACAATTTACGTTACACACTCAAGGGAGCTAAATTTGTGTCAAAAGATAATTGTCATTTTAACGTGTACCGCATGTAGAAGTTACTGCGCCTCATTATTTTTTAATAATGATTTTAATGTCTGAAACAATATCACTGTAGTGTAGCAGTACAAATAATATTAATTTTAAAATGATTAATGACCCGTTCGTGTTTTGATTTATAAAAACAAACCACCGTATTTCATTGCATTCCACTGACCGACTGAATCGTACCGTATATGCAATGGTGAAATTTATAACATGTTTACAAAATTTAATTTCATCTGAAGTCGATTGAAATGTTCATCTGTGAATTAAAAAAACAATTTTTTCGATAGAAAAAAATACATGAACGTTGATAATAATTGTAATCAATAGTTTACTTTTTTTATTTAATAAATATTACTTACGGCTCAAATTTAATTAAAAAATAAGCTAACATATCGTTGTCAATAACTACGCGCATGAAAAATAACGTTACTAGCTACGTAAATAAAAAAATGAACACTCAATGTTAATTTTTTATAGTGCGATTAGTGTGTATCCATACTTTCCATGTAATGAATTTTATAAATAAAAAGTTCGCAAGCGTGAAATGTCTTTTATGGAGCTTTTTGAAGTTGAATAATAATGTACAAAAATCAAAATATTTCGAAGAGATATTAATAAATTTATCCATTAGCAAATATATTATCACCCGAAATGAGAGAGTAGCTTAACGATTTTATTATACTAAGGCATTTATAATTTTAAGCACACAAAAGGCCCCTTACGTTGCTTACATTACGCGTCACGTGCGAACTAACAGCACTGGTTTGAAAACACATCTGATTTAGTGAGTTATATGACTAACATAAACTGTAAAGATATATGCTTGAAATAAACCTTATTATTTAAACAATTATTTAGTGTTACAACTTTAAGAACNGCTTGAAATAAACCTTATTATTTAAACAATTATCTAGTGTTACAACTTTAAGAACTATAATTTTATACGAAAATAATTGTATTACATCTGACAATATGCGTCATGAAAACGTATTATAAAAAAATAAACACAGAGAAATATTCTAGAAACTCAAACAATAAGTATGTATAATGTAATTATTCTATATTATTAATGATACATTTTATCATCATCTAATTAAACTCCGGATAAATTATAAATCTATACAAGATAGACATAATCAAATATAAGTTGAGAACTATGCAATAAATAAGACATTTTATAAATGTCAAATTTAATAAATCAACATAATATTTTACTAATTAACCAAGAAGAGTTGACAACAACAATACTTAATTTACTTAATTACGCTCGATATTTCATTTGAACCAAGAGTTTAATTAAAACAAGTAATAAGTAATGGATGTTTTTTCGTAAAAAAATAAATAAGTGTACAAAGGGTTCAAATAATTTTTTTATACAACTCTATTCATTAGACTTAAACAAATCGGTTTTCAGATGTTTCCCCTAATTAAAATACTGAATATTATTATTTTTTATTTGAGTTGTTAACCAGAAGGTATATTTTATCCCCTATACAATATTTCTTTGGGGTTATATGAATATAATTTTCAAGAAGATGTTACAAAAAATAACAATTATTTTAATTAAATAAACCATGGTTGTAAAGACATCGACAAATTCAACTAGCTTTAACTGTATGAAATAATTTTTTGCAAAATATACAAAAATAAAATAAAATACATATTCATAATAATTCATATTTATTTATATTATTCATAGTTTAAATAATTAGAGATAATTCAACTACTATGCTCTATCTCTGTTCAGTTAAAAATTGGGTTTTACTAGTTATAACTAGCAAAATAATCAAATCTAAATTTATTTTTTAATAAATTCACTAAAAGCCTATTTATGTATTTCTAACGTGTAGATGTTTTTGTCTGAATAAATAATCATTTTTATAATCGGATAACTTTAATGCATTATCTCAGAAAGAAAGGTTTAATGTTTTTATATTATATACTTTAGAATGATAATAAAATTTGATAACATTAGCAATACGATTTAATGCCAAATTTATCAAATTTGTAGATTGAAAAAAAATCATGAACATATGAATTAAAGTAAAATCATATCTTGTTGAAATCTAAAATGGAAAGATTATAATATAATCTGTCGTACGACTTATAATACCACGTTTTAATATTTATAATATTATTCAATAATTCAATGAGAGGGAATTAATAATAAGCAAAAAAAAATGTTAAAACTAGTGTAGAATTGATACTGAGGAATTTTACTTTAAGCATTTATTTTTAATTTTAGTTTTATGAACTTATTATCGGCTGAACGATATTAGGAAAATCATTTGTTATTTTTGTCAGATCTTCCAGTTCAATAAACATGCTGTATCTAATATGTGTGTCTGATATTTTTCCGCAGAAAGAGAATGTGATGAATTACCGAATCCCGAACATGGCGTAGTGATAATGACCGGAAGACTCTTTAGTGACAAGGCTACTTATAGCTGTGAAATAGGTTACCAACTAATAGGTCGTGACCATAGGACGTGCCATGCTTCTGGTACGTGGTCAGGCTCGGATCCGTATTGTAAACAAAGTGGTAAGTAGTAAATTAAAATAGTTGTTAAAAAGGATAAATGACTTTTTATATCTTACCGTAATCTCCTGAATAGTATTTTGCAAATCCCCTCCTGTAATCGAAAATGCAATAAACAATGCCTTTCCCGATCAATTGACTTACGATGTCGGAGCTGAAGTTGAATATCGGTGCGAAAACGGATTTATGATGAGAGGGTTTGCAAAAGCTAAGTGTTTGGCGATGGATATTTCTGCTTCGTGGTATGGTCCTGAAGTAACATGCGAACGTAAGTACTTTTAAGAACTTTTATAGTATACTCATGGGAAGATTTAAATGTATTTTCTTAACTAGATTATAAGGTTTAAGTACATTATAATAATATTAAATTAGACCAAATTATTTGGTTATATACAGGGTGGCCCAGCACTCACTGACAACTTAAATAACTTTTGATCCAGTTAATATTTTTAGCTGATTTTTTTTTTAAATAATAGTTATACGTTAGGTTTATAGCTATATCTCAATAATTATTTTTTTTTAATTTTAAATAAAGTAGTAAATATTCTGTAGCATTTTAAAATTTGTGAAAATTTGAATTTTCATGTGTTATTTTACGGTATTAAACATTGAAATATGTATTGAGAAAAGGACAGAAGAAAACACTATCATTTCATGATTACTATAATTTGGAGGTGTGTAACTTTTTCCATGAAAATGACCTATACTTTGAATGAAAGTGATAAGTTATAATTGCCTTATCAAATTTCTTATCGTGGTATTAATGCCAAGTTTGTAATGTTTAATACCGTAAAATAATACATGAAAATTCAAATTTTCACAAAATTTAAAATGCTACAGAATATTTACTACTGAATGTTAATAAGATATTTTTTTACATTTTATTTAAAATTAAAAAAAAATAATTACTGAGATATAGCTATAAACCTAACGTATAACTATTATTTAAAAAAAAAATCAGCTAAAAATATTAACTGGATCAAAAGTTATTTAAGTTGTCAGTGAGTGCTGGGCCACTCTGTATAGGAAACTCATTAAGAATAAAACACTTTTATTTCGATAATTATTAAAGATTTATATCGGATAAAAACAATTATGAAATCAAAATTATTTTTTATATTTTGCCTATTTTATTTCCATTTTTTTAAAAATAAAATAGGGGTTCTCATTTACGAAAATTAAAGTAAAGGATTTTTATATCTGATGGGATGAAAAAAAATTATTTATCTACATGATATTGAACCAAACAATTTTTCTTTTTACGAAAAAAAAAAATCAATAGTTTCCTAGAAAATTAGTGTCTTATCTTTTATCTATCATTCAGTATATATATAAGAGTATTATTTCTAAATGCATCTTTCAGTATCATATGCTAAACTTTACTAACAGTTAATTCGATTCTTATATTCATTCATAATCTTTATAAAGGATGAATTATTTAAACCGTACGTTAATCGCTAAAACTATTTTAAAAGTCTACTTTTCTAACTTTACCATATAATATCTATCTTAAATTTTTAATATTATTCATTAAATCTATTGTATATTGTACGATTTGTAATTTTGAATTATGATACCAAAATTAAACAAAAAATTAAAATTAAAAATTGTTCAAAATATTTTATAAGTAATTTTATTAATATATAATTACTTAAAAATAATATTTATCGAAATTGTAAAGCAAGAACTTGTGGATCTCCATCTATAATTTCTAATGGCTGGCATCAAGGAGACTGCACAGACTTTGGCTGTCGCATATACTACAAATGTGCTGATGAATATGAATTAATTGGAAAATCAGAACGCCTGTGTCATTCTGATGGATATTGGGTACCAAAAGAACCTCCATCTTGTGTGCGTAAGTACCTCCACCTAGAAATTGAGGGGGTGTTCTCTGCCAACCTTATGTATTATTCTATACATATTTCTATCGATATTCACGAAAAATGTTCATATTGTTAAAAAGGTGAGACTTAATTTCTTATAATATTAACCGTTACAAAATAATATTACTCATTGATATTGCTCAAGTTTTTATGATCGCTTACAACAATATAATTATGCATAAAATAGTATTACACAGAAATTAATTAAAAATAAAAAATTGAATTCAACATCTAAAAAAATAATAGTGAAAACATTTATCAATAAAAATGTTCAGTTAAAATGATTGGAATTTAAGAATTAAAAATAACAATTATTTTCGATGGGTTACTTTTTGGCGTTTTTCGCATGTGTTGTGGTTACAGCGGTAGACTGCGGTCCACCAGAGAACCCGTTCAACGGGAACGCTATTTTTACGTCTACATCATACAATTCAGTGGTATCGTATGAATGCAAGTTCGGGAATTTATTGTCAGGTGAGCCAACCAGGAGATGCGGTGCTGACGGCAAATGGTCTGGTATCACACCAAGTTGTCAAGGTAAATGATGCACATAATCATGAAAAAATATTCAAATTATTAAAATATTGGAACGGACTATAGAATGTTTCTAAAATAAAACTTGTTATATAGTATTTTTATATTACTAGTATATTTATACATACATAATGCAATAGCTTTAAATTTTGCTAATGATAAAATAATATAAATTTAATGTTAGAGTTTTAATTACAAGTGAATAAAAAATAAAAATGTTAAATATTAAAATTGTTTTTATAAAGATTTTTATAGTTTTTAATTATTTTTGAATTTAATCGATTAACTAAATATTTTTAACGAATTAATTTGATAAAATTAAAAAAAAAAATCACCAACAAATTATGTAAGGGGCTTAGTATAGGCAACTTTGTCATCACAAGTGTATGTAAGTTGTGTGATATGGATTGCACAGTAAAAATAATAGAAAACGGGTACCAGGAATTCAGGAGATTCATAAAGCTTTTCCGTAGCCAGTGGTCGCGCGCGGTGTTATCAGTTATTACCGTTTTAACGGGGACCCTTATAGAACAATGTTGGCGATATCCGATAATACTATGGCGTTGTCGAGCTATTCAGACGTTGAAAATCATTAGCAATAGCGTTACATATAAATATATTATATACACGAATTTGCTTTATCTTAATCCATGAAATGGCACAACAATCAACTGCTTAGAATAAAAAGTTCTTTTTTTTGTATGTTTGGAGATAAAATAATTTTGATAAAACGATGATGTCTTTAAATTAATTTTATCAGACTTAAAACACAGTAAGAAATAACAATACGCTTGTTGAGTTAATATCTCAACAAAATTATAATATTATAATTTTTTTCATTATACCACGAAATCTCAGCAATTCAATTGATCATTTTAATTTCTTAATTGATTTTCTTTCTTATTATACTTTAACATTTATTTATTAAATAATTTTACAATAAAAGGAAAAGTGATTAATTACTTTTTAAATATATAAAAGGTTAAGAGTAATTCATCAAGAAATCCAAATGAAAATAAAAAAAATGTCAACAAGTGCTATAGTATCAAGGTATTTCATAAAAATACTTGTTCGAAATAGTTTTTGGTTAAAAATGATTGATAACTTTAGCTCATATATTTTAGAAAAACGCCTTAATAAGAAATTGGAATCTTGATTGTACTTTTAGAATGTTCAATTGTATTCTGGTGACAAATTGAACACTTGAAATTAATTAAACTAATTATTTATTGCAATGAAAAGCTTCAAATTTTTTAATTAGAAAAACTTCATCGTAAGCAATTTGTTAAAACTGAAGAATAATATTTTTTAATTAACGTGTCAGCTACTTTTTTCTTTTTATTTAAAAATTAAATAAAATATCAAACAAACAAATATAAATGTAACGATAGAAATAGATTGTGGATCTCCGGGAGAGTTGCATAACGGTTGGCTAGAGAACACAGAAAGCGGAACTGGTTTAGGGGCGACCATTATTTATCGTTGTCAAGATGGAATGCTTCTTGTAGGAAATGCATCAACGGTATGTCTGGCTGATGGTAATTGGCGCTATCCACCCCCATTATGTCTCGGTAAGTCATTTTATTTGACATTATTTATTAAAAAGAGTAGAAACAATTTAAACAAAAATTAAAGTTTTAACTAAAAGGCTACCAAAGCACTATCTAATAAAATACTAAATTGTCCTGTGTAATTGGTTATTAATAAATAATTATATATTTTTATTATAGCGCCATGTGTGGTCCCAGCCATTCAGCAAGGTATTGTTAATGTAAGTCGTTCAAATGATTCCACGGCTATTCAACAAAAAGCTGGTGCTCCTGTATTAGCAAAACACGGTGATAAACTTATCGTTAAATGTATTGATAAGTATGAACCATCTGGTGGTAATAATACTTTTGCAACATGCAACAATGGAACGTGGACGTACATACCAAAATGTGAACCAGGTAGGAGTTTGTAACAAGTAACATCTATCATCATTATGATATCATAGTAATACTTAAAGCTTTGTTTAATGAAATAACAATTTAAATATTATTTTAGCGCATTGTAAGCATTTACCACAAATTCCAAAAAACGGAATAGTTTTGGCACCAAGAATGGGTCATGGTGCCAGAGCAAAATTCGCATGCAAAGATGGCTTCGTAATGACAGGGGATCGGTACACAGAATGCCGATTCGGAAACTGGTCCGGAAAAACTCCAATATGCGAAGAAGGTTTAAAAATAATATAAAAAGCATATGAAATTTATCAGAGATAAGATTTTTTTGTTTTTTTAGTGTATTGCCCTTTTCCTGGTTATATAGAGCACGGTAAAGTTTTATTGGTAGGAAGTATGGGTGTATATGATTACAGGCCATACGTTAAAAAAATTAAAAATAATAAACAAATTGCTTTTGAATGTGATCGAGAATATACCATCGAAACGGGACCAGTTGGAGCTACATGTATCGATGGAAAATGGAGTCCTGAAGTGTTACCCAAGTAAATATAAAAACAATCAATTTAATTATTAATCTTAATCTCGTTACTTTTGCCTTACATAATTATGTAATCTAAGAAAGAATACATGCTGAAAATTAAATTATAAATTTAAATTTAAAACATACGCATGCATAAAAAAAAAAGAAAAAATTGTGAACATTTTTGTTGAAAGAAATTATTAGTGTGTTCATTGTTATAAAATTTATCTCAAAATTTAACATTTTAAATGTTTAGATGTGTACCATCCAACCATCCAAAATTAAGGCTAAGTAGATCTATTCAAAATGAAACCGAATGGAAATCTTATATATTAAATACAGATAAATTAAATTCATCTATGATATTTAAAGTCGTTGAGACTTTACAAAATTTGTGGATAAGAAGTAAACGTGCTCTATCAGCTCAAAATCAGCAAGTTATGAAAGCAAAACAGACTTCTAATAAAGATCAAACAGCAAAGAGTCCTGGAACCGGGAGGTCCAGGAGTAGAGAACCTGGAGATACATTATTTAAAGAATATGATGGTGAAGAGGTTAATACAACAATAACAGAAGAAAAAAATCCACAAAAAACTGTCAAAGGAAAAGGAAAACACGGAAAACGAAAAGGTTGAATTCCTTAAAAATATATTAGTAATTTACTATTTATACATAATGTACAAATAATTGACTTATTACAATTTATTAAAAATTATTTTTATTTTCTTTATAAACAATAATTTTTTTTTTAGTTGGTCCTTGCGAGCCTTTATCCAACAACACATTCGCACATTTTGAAGTTATAAAATCTGGAAAGCATGGGAATAGTACTCATTCCCATGGTACTGTGATAAAAGTAACTTGTAATGTTGGTTATTACACTAATATTGTTAATAACACAGCTAAATGTTGGAGAACGCGTTGGAAACCCGCAAAACCAGATTGCAAACTCAGTAATATATTTTTATTCAATATTTGAACTTAATAATATAATGTCTTTAAAAAAACATGTAAAACGTAGCTATTAAATTAATATATTTACCGACTAGTATATTTAAATAGTCTAATTTGTCTTACCNATTTACCGACTAGTATATTTAAATAGTCTAATTTGTCTTACCTTCTAAGGGCCTTAAAAGTTATAGAATATTGAACGTTTCTTACAAGTTATACTGTACTGAAACAAAATAAATTATATATTATGATGATTTTTCTAAAATAACGCGTAAAATGATGTTAACTTATCCATATATTTTTTAGAACCTTGCTTGGTGCCTTACACAGCAAATGGCTATTATAGAACTAATGAACCAACCTTTTTAAACATAACTGAAAATACAGAAATTTCTGATGGAGAAGTTGTAACTTTATCATGTTTTTCGGGATTTAATTTAAAAGGCTCTCCTAGAATTCAGTGCATTAAAGGAGACTGGGATGTCGATACTTCTATTCCGGAATGCACGCCTTGTAAATATTAAATGAAACAATAATTTTAAAGTAAAACTTTTCATTGTAAAATTTAATTCTAGCTCCATGTGAGTTACCATCAATAAACCACGGCCAATATTTATTGGGATATAGAGCTGGATTAACCATAGCTAATGGTTCATTTGTAACATTTCAATGTGATCCTGAATTTATCAAAACAACTTCTGTCTCTATAGAATGCGTATTAGGGAATTTAGTTCCAAAACTTCCATCTTGCAAAAGAGGTAATTATTAAAAGATAGCTTCTTGTTTTATAATTGAAGGGGTCAGTGGACATATATTTTTGAAACTGTACAGGAATGCTACTTTCGAAACTAAATTTTAATGATAAATTCTTCTAAAAACATCTTAATTTATTTATTATTTCGATATATCTGTGATTCAAACACATTTCGGACAGAAACAATATTTTTATTATACTATAACACTTCTATTCATGAAATACTTTCAGAAAAAATGTCGATTATCACTATAATTCACTGTGCCAATTCTCAAATAAGAATTTAGAATTTTGTTTTATTGATAAGTTGTAAAAATAATAATCTATTTACAATAGTCGTAATTATGTTATAAGCATACATACTCATATTTTTCAAGTGTTTATAAATCTATTTTATTTGCTATAAGATGGTGGGCTTTTTATTACTGGTGCCGATATACTAAAAAAAAGCGAGCTGGGAACTATTGATCTTTTATCTGGACTTCGAGGATCATGTGGTCCTCCAGAATCTGTTCAGGGATCGTTAATATTTAGGAATGGAGAATTATTAAAAGACGCCGAAAAAAGGTAAATATTAGCTGAATTTATTCATGAAAAATATTTTTGAGTATTAATGTAATACTAATTTAAGTATTCTTCTTTAGTTTTCCTGATGGAACTGAGGTCACTTTTAATTGTATTGGAAACATTATAGGGGAGAAGGTAACTTGGCGTATAAGATGTGAAGATGGGAATTGGATTGGTAGATCGTTAAATTGCAGTAAGTTTACACAAAAATTATTTTACATATTATTACGATGCCAAAAAAAAATAAAGTTTATTTGATTTTTCATTGAAGTTACAGCAAAACCGATTGAAGAAACAAACACGACCGGCGATAACACTACATGTATGTTCAGAAATAGTGAGCCCAACGTCATAACTTTTATCGGTGACTCGATGATAACTAATGAGCTAACAGAATTTAACGCAGGAACAATTTTGGTGAGAGTCATGAATTAAAATATTCTCTGTTCTACGAATTTTGTGTACAAAGTTCATAATTATTCAACTAATTTTCTGGTATTTTTGTAAATCACACTATTTTTAGGTGTCAAGATGTTCGGATATTGGTAAGTATGCAATGGAAGGGTCTAATAAACGCGTATGCATCAATGGAGAGTGGTCAGGACAGCGACCGGTTTGTTTCGGGTTAAACCAAGAAAACGATTATGCTCGTAAGAATTTATAATAGAAATACAAATTACAGAAAACGTGAATTGTAGTATACATTTAAATTTTTTGGTTTCAAATTGTTTAAAAAATATTAATTTGTTCATTGACGAAAATTTAACTACAATACGGTAAACGAGAATTTAAAAAATTATACGAAATTCATAGATTAAATACAAATAGGAAATTATGTTTAAAACATCAATATTTATATTTCTCAATTCTATAAATGCAAATTTGACACTATTTTAATTTTTTTTATATTTATGAGGTTTGGATTAAGTTATAATCAAATTTAAAAATAATTCATAAAATTATAGATTTTTGAATTTTAGGTTTTTGATATCTCTAAAGATAAATTTTACATTATTTTTTAAGATTTTTAAATGTTAAAAAATAATGCAAAAAAATAAAACATAATGAGTTAAACATTTGACGAAATATAGTAAAATGTTTTTTTTTATGAAGATTATACAAAAAGGTATAATGGTCTTTTTACTTTATTATATCATTACAATTTTTAATATTAGAGCATATATATCTAGCTATTTACCACAGCTGAATATCATTGTACACTTTTGTGTACGTCTTTATTTAACAAATAAATGAGATTTTAGGACTCTACCTAATAATACTAATTTTGAAATCATTTTATCTTATTTAATTTTTTTTTTTTTTGAACTTTAAAAAAGAAAAATTTAATTTAACTTGTTTTGTAAGTAATTAATAAACGCGAAGAAATTATAAATTTTAAAAGCTCATTTTTTCGCTTTTTAATTATTTACTTTACGTTAATGTTTTGAATACTGAAACTGTATAACAATAGAAAGAAAAATAGTGTATGTAATAAAGGCCCTTTTATTGTCGTTATACATTATCAACACCAATGCATGATTATTCTATACGTATAAAAAAGATCTAATTAAGTTCGGAATGTTTTTCATAAGTTGTCAAATATTTTACTATTAAAATTCAACCGTGTAATAATCATATTTTAATGTTGATATTTTTTGGCTTGTTTTCTAAATTCTGACCCTTAGTTTNTGTCTTGTTTTCTAAATTTTGACCCTTAGTTTAATTTATATTTTTGTGCACATTACGTTAGTATAATTTATTTGATTTTTGTACATTAATGTAAAAAAATAAAATATTTCTTTCTTTCNTAAAAAAATAAAATATTTCTTTTGTTTTGTTTTGTTTTATTTTTTGTAAGTGGAAAAACCACCAACTATACTATTTCGTCATCAGCTCGGTCCTATTGCCCAAAGTAACGAAGGAAAACTAATTGTGTATCCAGGAACTATATTACACATGGAATGTTTGTGGATCAAACGGTTTGGTACTCCATTGTGGAATGTCAGTCACTCATTTCGGTAATAGTATTATTTTTCAATTAAATTAGTTATATGTGTTAAATATGTCTAGACATAAACATATTCTGAAAGAATAAAATCATACAATTGTGATATCGTAGATCAAAGATTTTATTTGAAATGAATTCTCAGTGAATATAACCTTAAGTAGTAATTTTTTTTTAATTTAATTTTAAGTATATTCATTTATAGACATAAATAGTTAGCATCAGGCACGTAGCTAGAAAATATTTATTGGAGGGGCCAACAATTATGGGCTCTTGTATCATTTTCCATAATTTGTTTCCCATGAAAAGCTTGTGGGGGGGCTCCCTCCACTCATCCTTAGACAGTATCCCATTCTATGAATCTTACAAGTTCAAAATTTTACCATTGGTTGATTAAAAACAAATTGTTTTCGTATAAAGTATACTAATTATTACAGTATTATAAAAAACCCAGCATAGGGGGGTCGCGGTTCAGTGGTGACGTGGCATAGTTGGATCAAATATAATGATATCTGACAGTGATTAAAATCACTATAAAAAAAAACGCTTCGATGCAAATCTTTAGATAATGTTTAATTTTAAAAAATTGGTGGATTAATCCAAAAGCTACATGATCTGCTAGTTCCTTATTAATATCCTGCATGAAAAAGGGATTATTAAAAAATATTATTTCTCATAAAAAATTTTTATTGATCTATACATTTTTCAAAGTTATAGAAGTATAAATTTTAAATTTTAAAATATAAAATCGAGAATTTTAACACAAAAATAACATACGGTAGCCATTTTCACCATGATGACAAAATAAAGTTCGAAATTTTTTTTTTTTTATATAATAAAGTATATTACATTAACTTTAATTTAAGATATATATAAAAGTTTCAGACTTTCCGGAACACTTTCAAAAGTTAAGTTGAAAAAGTTCTACTTTCTACATGCATTTTTTAGATTTGAACCCCCCTCGTATATAGGGAAATTATCCGATTTAAAAAAACAGTATGTCGAATGAAAGATGTATATAAATACTACTTCTCATGAAAAAATTGTATTGATCCATACATTTTTCAAAAAGTATAATAGCATAATAAAGTTAAAAATGTAAAATACAAAAATAGCATTCGATAGCCATTTTCCTCGTGAAGATAAAATAAAGTTCGAAATTTTTTTAAATAAAAGAGTACATTACATTAGCTTTAATTTAAGATATAGATAAAAGTGTCAGAATTTCCGGAACATTTTAAAAATTTATGTGGAAAAAGTTAATTTTTTTTTTAAAAAGTCATTTTAAATATCCCTCTGTGGGCAGGTTAAGAGTCAGATTTATAAAAAAATATACCCAATGAAAGGTAAAGACATCATGCATCTATAAAATAATTTATATAGATTCGGCCATTTTTAGAAATTTAATGCAGTTTTAAGTTAAAAAAATTTTAAAATGTCAAAAATTAGCAATTTTTACATTTGTAATTTTTTGGAGGATTTCCCCCATTTACAGGGTACAAGAGAAACGTTTTCAATTTTTGAAGTTAATGTCTTACTAGATGCGATTTGTGATCTTTTGATGTTATGTTCATCAAAATCGGTCCAGTGAGAGCTGAGATTGAGTGTTCACAGATACAAAAAAATATAGTCATAGAACACTATATATTTTTTTAATTAAAAGTTACAGAATCTACAAATTAATAAAAATACCCCCTTAATTACCAACTCACCCTAACTACTCTTTAGTATACCNGAACACTATATATTTTTTTAATTAAAAGTTACAGAATCTACAAATTAATAAAAATACCCCCTTAATTACCAACTCCCCCTAACTACTCTTTAGTATACCCCCTTAATTACCAACTCCTCCTAACTACTCTTTAGTATACCCCCTTAATTACCAAACTCCTCCTAGCTATCTCTTTATTATACCCCTTAATTGCATTTTCCCCCTAACTACTCTTTTAATATTCCCCTTAATTATTAATTACCCTAAGATACTATTTTTTTTCCCTTAATTACTATATTTCACAACCTTAATTACTAATTATTCCTATTTTCTCTCCCTTTATTACCAATTATTATTATTATTTTGCTCCCTAAATACAAATTACTACTAATTTATTACACCCTTAATACTAAGTACTATTGGTTTATACTAATTACCATTATTCTGCAAAGAAATTATAATAAACAAAAATATACTTTTCTTTTTCAACTTTTCGCGCTCTTTTTAAATCTCTAATTAGACTTTTTCTATCACTTCTAAATTTTTATAGAATTACTTATTATTAAAAAATAAGTATTGACATAAAAAAAAAATTGTTTTAAACTAATACTGATTTTAATTATTAATATATTAAAAATATGAAAAATGTTATTTAACCTATTTTGTTAATCCTTCATGGTTGATTTTTGTGAAAGTTTATAATAAAAAAAAACAATAGATGATTTTTTCAGACAGTTATTGAGTATGACTGATGGTAATGAACAGATAAATATAAAAAAAAACCAGCACAGTGAGGTCGTGGCACAGTGGGGACGTGGCATAGTTGGGTCCAGTATAGATTTAATCTGACAGTGATTAAAATCACTATCATAAGAAACGCTTCGATGCAAATTTGTAGATAGTGTTTAATTCTAAGAAATTGATGGATAATTACAAAAGCAACATCAACTTCTATTTCATTAATTATACCCAGATTAGTAATTCTTTTAATCATATTATATTATATAATTTTTAAAATTAATTGTTTTAAAATTATTATTGATTTTGATTTTTAATATGTTAAAAGTAATCATTTTGAACCTACTTTTTTGGTCCTTTAAAGTGAAAGTTTTAATTAAAAAAAAAATGAATTTATTACCATAACTTTTAGCTCAACTTGCTAGTTTGAAATTGATATTATTAAATAGAAAAAATGAAATTGTTAAGATTAATATACAATCAGGAAATTTTATAATTACTATTTACAGTAAATGTATCAGAAAAGTTCAATTTTTTTTTACATTTTTTACGTTATGGATCACTTAAATAAAAATCATTTCTAATTAAATTTTGGTGTTTAAAGATTCTACAATTGAAATATGCAGAACTCAATTAATTTTAATGATTTACTTTAACTAAAAAAACCAATAAAAAAAAAAATTTAAAAAGATTTACTCAATTGTGAGTGTATTATAAAATTTGATTATAATTGTAAAAATCCATCTTTAAATTCTGGTGAAACTAAAAATCATTTTTTTTTTGAAATTTAAGATTTATATAGCAACATGTTACAAAAAAATTTGGAATATTATTAACTAGTAGTAGCACACACAAATAGAGTTAAAAAAATAAAAAATTACACAGTAAAATTATTTACTTTTGTAGTTGAATACTTTTATCATATCAAATCTAATTCAACAATGAATACTTTAAGAATAATAGAAATTAATGTTTTTGATTGTTTGTATGGAAAAAGTTGGTTAAGCTACTTTTTATTTGAATAAGGAATATTTTTTTCGATTTTTCAGAGTAATAACTTAAACTAAATACGAATTGTAATCATTTGACGTAACGTTAAAAAAGTAGGTCTAGTGAGGGTTGGCAAAATAAATCGTAGCCACAAAAAAAACTACATAGTAAAATAATATTAACATGAATATAAATTTCTTCTCACGAGGGGAGACTATAGTGATAGGATTCTTTAAATTTATTGAAGTTATTGAATTTAAATGAGATAAATATTAAATGATTTGAAAATTTTATTCTAACTCAAAAAAAATTCAAAATATAAACTGCCACAAACAGATTTGAACCTCGTACACCGTTAGCATGAAAGATACAAGTGTTACTGAAACTGTTCGTTGCTTTCGTCACATGATAAAATTGCCTATTTAAGGTAACTCAAATTAAAAAATTACTTTTTCGACTTTAAAAAAGCAAAAAAAATTAATAAATTTAATTTCTTATGTCTTATGAACTTTATTCTATGTCAATTGAATTATAAAATATTCATGAAAGTCAGTGTATTGCCCATATAAGATATTTTAAAAGAAAGTAAAATACAAAACCCAGGATTTTAACACAAAAATAGCATATTTTTGAATACGGTAGCCATTTACGCATAGATGATAGGTCATCGGGACAAATTTTTTTTTTTCATTTTGTAGTACATAAAATAACCTTTAATTTGATATATGTTTAAAGGACATAGTANCATAAAATAAGCTTTAATTTGATATATGTTTAAAGGACGCAGTATTTCCGGAACATTTTTAAAAATTAAGTTGAAAAAGTTAGTTTTTGTAAAAAAGTTGCTATTTTAAATCCCCTTTGTGAGCAAAATAAGTATTAGATTTTCAAAAAAAAATGATATCAAATGAAAGGGAAATATCTAAGGTTTTAGTATAAAAAAAATTATGTTGATTTGTTTATTTTTGAAAAAGTTATGGAAGTTTTAAAATAAAAAGTGAAAAAAATGACAAAATTTACCGATTTTTAAATTTGTAATTTTTTTGGATATCTCCTCCATTTGCGGGGAATGAGGCAAAATTTTTTAATTTTTAAGGGTAATGTCTGCGACTAGATACGATTTGTGATCTTTTGACGTATCATTGAAAGACATCGGTTTGGTGAGAGCTGAGAAAAAGTGGTAACAGACACAAAAAAAAACACATCATAGTAAAACCAATACCTTCTCAGCTTTGCATCGAAACTAATAAAATAATGATGTGAACATAAGCTGATTTAATTTTTCAACTTTTAAGCTATTAAGAAAAAATAATTTATATCTAAATACTAATATTAAAATAAGTTATAAATAATTTTGAAAATAAATATAAACAATGTAAGATTTATTTTATTTAAAATTAAAAACAATTCCTGCCTTTTTTTAGTCATATTTTCATTACTATTATTTAAAGCACGCAAATAACATATTAAAAAAAACAAATAAATTACCTATTATAACTACTAAATTATAAAAAAAAAACAGATTAAAGATAAGATTTATCAAAAAATTTTTCATAGAGTATTACTCTATCGAATTTTGTAATCAACTAGATTCTAATCAATGCATATTTCAATTAGTATCAATGTTACTTGGTAGTTTGTTATCAATTGTTGAACCAGAGTTAAAAAAAATTTATCTACAACCACGTTTGGAGTAACTGCTATTCCATTTATTATTACGTCCAGAACGTTATCTTTTTCAAATAACGTTTTCTATGAATATAAAAATGAAAATACAGCCATAATAATAACTGAATTACTCAATAGTAATCACAAATTAATAATAATTTCAATGTATATAAGGACTAGTACGTTATTGATAATTCGTAAAAATAATTGAATTTTAAATTTGGGGGGGGCTGGCCCTGGGTCACATTAAATCTAAGGGGGGCCAGGCCCACCCATGTCTACGTGCCTGGTTAGCATATGTAATATATTAGCTGGGGTTTTACAAGGATTTACGGTACTTTAATAAATGTAATTTTAATATTGATGTCCGTTTCTATGTTTAAACTGCTTATTAGTTTTGATAATTTTTAAAACTGAATGATTTCTTTTTTATTTTCAGAAAATATCCCGAAGGTTGGACGACAGATCCCGGGCGTGATCCTAACCTCGAGTACCGTCTAAGTATTTATCATGCAAGCAGAGATGACTCGGGTGTATTTTCATGTATTACGCCTACTAGACATACGCATTCCGTCGAAATAATTGTAAAAGGTTAGCTAAATTGTTATTAAAATTAACTAAAATTGCCAATAATAATATTAGCTGTGCATTGTCCCTCTATACCATCGAAACGGAGTCTGACGATTGGAAGTCAAAATACAAAACTCAATACCCGTGTGACGTTTTCCTGTGCTAAAGGGTACAACTTGATTGGGGCGTCAGAAATCAATTGTCTTCCTTCAGGAAACTGGAGTGATCCCATCCCATCGTGTGAGAGTAAGTTTGATATTTCAACGGACTTAACATTTATCATTTATTTTACTTATCTGATTATTACATTTTTAGTAATCGAATGCGATGAAATCGAAAAACTCATTGATCCAAATCTACGTGTAGCTGTGCTGAGCCATCAAGTTGGTGGCGAAATTATGTTTAGCTGTATGCAAGGATTTGGATTAACTGGACCGACTCATTCAACTTGTTTACCGACCGGCGAATGGGAACAACCATTTCCAACATGTGCAGGTCTATAAATATTTTTTGTTTACTCAAAGATATAGTGTATAAAAATTAATATATGTTTTAGTTACTCCTAAAACTTCAATAAAATTAGTCGCTTATTGTACACACAATTAGCTCTTATTTATCTTAGATATTTTAGTCATTTTAATGATAAATGAGCTTTTAAAATAAAATTCTTTTCAATAATGTTGTAATTTTCTCTGTTTCTTAATATCTAAAATTTATTATTTTAAATAAGAAAAACTTCTTTAATATCCTTGAACTATTTTTTTTAAACACATATTTCTTTATATCTTATGTGTATTATTATTTTTTTAATAATTCAAAAATTTGAGTTAAACAAAATTATTCAATTATTTGTACAGCGGAAATTTAATAAAAATTATATATATATATATATGTTGTACAAGGAAATCAGTGACTTCGAAATTAATTATATTTCTCAAATAACTGTTGGGCCCTAAGAAGTGTAATTGGTGTGTTGTAGCAGTTACATGTCCTTGGCCAGGAGACCCGCCACATGGTTATTTGGCCATTTCTCAAAACTCCTACAGACCAGGTGAACGCGTGTCCGTCAACTGCGAGCCCTATTACGTATTGGACGGTCAACCGAATCTCGTTTGTCAGGATAATGGAAATTGGTCAGCATCATTGCCAGTTTGTAAGTGGAGACGATTTTTTTATAGCGACTTCGAACAAGTACTGCTTATTTCAAAGTGCCTCGACGGATCTTCTGGCCATTATTGTTTAAATCCCTTCGAATGTATTTTTTATCATTTCGAAGTCGCTTTATGACGTTAATAAAATGTATTTCTAATACTAAGATTATTGTCCAGGTGTTCAAGCATGTCCTTACCCAGGCACAGTGATACGAGGTCGTATGTCAATGGTTAAGTTCTACTATGCTATTGACGATGTGATCACTTTTAGCTGCGATGATAATTTCAAAATTAAAGGTGTTCCAATTTTAAAGTGTTTAAAATATGGTAAATGGTCTAACTCAATACCTACATGTGCTCCTAAAAATGAAACCCAACAGATAGTTTGAATTAATCAAAGTATATTATAATTTGTTGGATCTCAGAATATTTTTCAATTTTAAGTTATAATACTTTCCTAAGTTTTTGGTGGTCATTATTACACTGGAAACTGAACAATGTTAAATCTAATAATAGTTTGTTAATTTATTAATGAAAATTGAAGGTTTAATATTAGGTATATTTAACCATAAACTATACAACATTCCACTAGTATTTGATTACTTTTTGTATTTATCAAAAGAGCAATCGATAAAATCTACTTATAATTTATTAAAATTACCATTTAACTATATATATTTTCTAAAGTCATCTGAACAAGCCTGTTTGATTAATTTTTAGATTTATTATGCGTAATTAATTATAACTACATTTTTAATCAGCTAGAAATAAATTACTTAAAATGAACGCTACTATGAAATAAAGAAATGTTATTTTTGGAATACTTATTAGTGTGAAAAAAAACTAAACGATTTTAGAGGTAAGAATGTATTTGATTAAAACTAGGTAAGCGTAAATTGAAATATTATAAATATTGTTATTACTGATAAATATTTTCAAGGCCTTTAGATGTTTACGATAAGTAAAAAATAAGTATATTACATTAAATTTACTTATATGGACATTTTAAGTACATAAAAAAAATAAAACGATAAATGGCTAATGAGCTTACTTTGAATATTCTTTGACAATTCAATTTTTAGAAGAAATAGCTCATCTTTGACAATTTTCCAGTTTACATGTATGAAATATACCTAGTAATGTTTTTGTATAGTATTTCTAGTATTTTAGCTTATGTAAGTTTTTAAGTATTCTACTTAGTTTTAAAAATACATATTATAACCAAGTTATAAAAAAATACTGTATTATGTTAAATAGTCGTTGTTATTGCGTTTTTACATGTTATATTATAATTATACATAATATTTCAAATATTTTTTTTGATTATTAATTAATTTATGTTTACTTAATTAGTTTAAATAAAATTTTGTTGAAAATTAATAGCAATGTTTTTTAAATCATGTAATTATAACGTTATGTATTTATTATTATTATTATTCATAGGTTAAAAATAAAAAATATAAATTTAAAACTGTTTAATATTTTTATGAATTGATTTATTAACAAATTGATCGATATTTATTAAAATTTCTAATGATTTTAATGCTTTCCTGGTTTTAAATAACTTTTAAATCACTTCAATGAAGTTAAATATTAATAAATAAAAAAGAGATAGTAATCTTTAAAAGTATAAAAATATCGACAAAAAGTAATGATTTTTTATTTTCTGGTCATATTTTTAATTTTTATTGAAAAAGGATTATTTACACATAGTACTCGAAAAATATCCTAAATTTGCGTAACAGATAACCAGATTGTTTAACGTATAAAATATACGTTGAACAATCTGGTTATTAAAACTATTATTATTTACATTCTTTAAGTAAGATAGATGGCGCTACATCCTTAAATCAAAACAATAAAAGTCATCAAATAATTATGTCTGTTGTATCCTAATTAATAACAATCATACACTATGCTTGGTAAGACTAAAAAGTGCCATAAATTCCAACAATAAATAATTCTAACCTTTTTTAACTTCAATGAGAAGCTATGAAAATATTAATTTTACTATGATGTGTTTTTTTTTTTGTTTTTGTCTGTTGCAAATTTTTCTCAGCTATCACTGGATCGATTTCTTTCAAATACCCAAATCGTATCTAGTTGAAGACATGACCCTTAAAAATTAAAATAATTTCTCTCTTTCCCGTAAATGGGGGAAATTTTCAAAAAAATTCCAATTTTTAAAATATTGTCATTTTTTTCACTTTTTTTTCTTAAAACTACCATAACTTTTTCAAAAATTAACAAATCAACATAATTTATTTTTATGTTGAGACCTTAGGTATTTTCCATTCATTTAATATAATTTTTTTTTTAATTTGAATCTTTATTTGTCCAGGGGAGAGATTCAAAATAGGAATTTTTACACAGAAGTTAAGCTTTTTCAATTTAATTTTTGAAAATGTTTAGGAAATATTGACAGTTTTATTTAATCTCCCTTCGTGAGAAGAAATTTCTTATTCATGTTAATATTATTTTACTATGAGGTTTTTTTTGTGACTGCAATTTATTTTCCCAACCCTCAAAAAAAATTTGTTTGAGTCAAATTAATTCTTTGGCCGACCCTAAAAGTAGTTGGGATAAGGCGAGGAAAAGAAGAAGAGTCAAATTTAATTATTTATACAAAAAAATTATCATGAATATCATAAGCATCGAATAGATGTTTGACAGTGATTTTAGTCACTGCTCAGGATTTAAAACTGAGACTCAAATTTTGCAAAAGGCAGGGCAATTTAAAAGTTCAAAAAGTGAGAGGCAAAAATAACATTTCTGAAATGACAAATTTTTAAGAACCACTTTTTATGAACAAAAAAGTCATCAAAATATCATATATGCTGATATTTTTATACACATGGTTATATGAAAGGCACAATAACATCCATTATGTTTTCTTTAATATATAATAATTATAATAATTATTCAGTTTACAAATAAAATAAAGATAATTGTATAATAAACGCTTTTGTATCCATTGAAACAGTGAAAACTATTACAATTTTTGTTAGATACCATTTTGTTTATAACAGAATGTTGTCAAATCTATCAGTTGGAGTTTTGCATTCGATGGTTCTTATATTTTCTCTTAAATTTCCAATGTTCTGATTATATACTTACACAATTAAATTCTATTTAACTTAGAAATTATTATGATAATCTTACTTAATCTAAACGGTACACTACTATTGTGAAGCGAATCAAAGCACATCTTAAAGGTATTTTATTTTTGGCGATTTATTGCTTTAAGTTGAAGAAAGATTTTTTAGAGATTTAAACAATTTACAATTATTAATTAAAGTTTTATTTGTTTATAGTGGCAAAAAATTATAAGAAATTTGTTGTTAAACGTATAAACATTTTAGAAACGAGAAATAAGAAGTACTCTTGTATCCCTGCTAAGATCATGAAAAAGAATCGCGTGAGAAGTATTCATAAGAATTTGAACCAAGAAATTAATTTGGGAAATATAAATATATCAACAAACCCAGAAATCTTGCACCAAATGAAATTAATAAAGTCGAAGAAAGCATTCTTAATACTATATAAAAAAGAATGGCCGAAGAATCAAGACGTCAAAAGTAATTTTATTATTACCTTTCTTCAAATAAGTAAACAAAATTACTTATAAAATTAAAAAACACAGAATAGTTACTTCACAAGTAATAAAACTTTAGTATATGAAATTCAAAATTATTTAATTCTCACTAAAATTTAAACAAACTATGATTATATTTAATATATTTACCGTATTAATGTATCTTCTAACATAAATTAATGGGTCGAGGCTTAAAAAAGAAATTAAGTAAAATTACTAAAGAAAGAGAATATTACTTCAGTATACAAGAATTATTTTATCAATATTTTTCTTCGGAAAAATTCAATAGTCATTGCTATGTATAATATTTAAAGATAATGTATAAAAATACTAAGGACAGATATCTTAAAATATTTTTATGACAATTAAAAATTAAATCAAACAATAATAGATATTTTTGAAAGTTTATAGCATAACTGTGTTTATTTTAAAGCAATCGTAAAATGGGTCTTAATGCCGCCTAAAACTATACTATACTCACAACAGCAATCATTATGAAGAACCGCAAATTTATGATGGTAACACGAATCCTTTTCTGCAGCTAATTAAAAGAGAGATATGTATTGGAAGTCGGACTGTTATATCACAAGTTCCACGAGAGCAAATATTTAGTGCTACTCCTAAACTATGAACGCAGCATCCGGTGGTATTCACGCGGGTTCGTTAACGTTCGTGGTTTTATTTTGTCTTAAGTCTTTAGCTATGCTGAGGATGAGGAATAAGGCGAGTGGACTGTATGTTTGAATGTAGAACGAATATTACAAAATATAATTATAACAATGTTTGAATGTAGAACGAATATTACAAAATATAATTATAAACAAATGTATTATACGAGAAATATAAAATCTTATATACACCAATGTGGATGGGGGGGACACTTAAGACTAATGCCACTAAGGCGATGATATAAACAAATAATAAATTATACAAGTGAGTCTTAGAAAGATAGATGAACAAGCATTATACTTATCGGCTAAATGAAACGGCTGATGATAATGTTGAATATTGAAAGGATCAATTAAAGTCGAATGCAAGTAGCTGACCTATGTGTACAATATGCTGTGAACGGTATTTTTATGTATCTTATAAAATATATAGACCCAACGGCGATAAACTAAGCGCACAGGATACGACAATCGCAAAGGTGATATTTTCTTTTTACAGTAAAACGAATACAAAATTACTGGCTCGCAAAACGCCATAGAGCTTATAGCAGAAGAAGCGTTAAGATGGCGGCGACAATGCTGACATAGAGAGAAGACCGACAATAACTCGATGTAACACAACGATAACATGAATAATCAATAACACATTTTCTTGAAAGCATATTCCACCGATGTGTATCCAACACCTGATATATAGATTTCTATGAAGATGACATAGAAATTATGCAAACAATACTTTTGTAATAATTATTTAAATAGAAATTTTTACTCAATATTTTTTTCTTAGTGCTTTTAGTTTTTATAATTATTATCTATTTATATTTCAAACAAATGTAATAACCTTCTTTTGTTTTCCTAATTTTTGTATTTTTAACAAATGTATTTCTCTAATTTTTAAAGAAACTATCTACTTGGACAGAATACTTTCCTCACTATTTTAAAAATATGTTTTATAATAATTAACTAACCTATACATATTATTAATTAATCATTAACATACAATAAAGATAGTGTTAAATAATAAATATAAAATATAATATATAAAATACTTTTTGAGAAATTAAAGCAGGTACTCCATGGTTTTAAATATCTGTAAATTTCGACTTTTTAAAACTTTTTTTCTTAAAAGTGTCAAAATTTGATTATAAATAAACCAAATAAATTATTTTTTTTATATAATTATCTTAGGCATTTATCTTTCATTTGGTACACGTTTTATAAAAATTTAACTTTATACCTGCCCATAGAGGTATCAAAATAGCAACTTTTGCAACATAACTTTTGATAAAGTTTGGAAAATATTGCGTCCTTTAAATATATATTAAATTTATCTTCTATGTGCAAATAGCTCCCATAGTTAAAAACATACTATTTTAATGTTAAAATTTTATTTATAATATCTTATAAGGGTTCCCCTTTTACTATAGTAAAGATGCCTTCAATTTTTAGTTAAGTTACATGAATCTAAATTACATTGATTATACATTTAAACTTATTTTGAATATTTTGCCTCCCCTTGGTTAAGAAAAGAGACTTTGAATTTCGTAAATAAGTTTAAGTTGTCCTTTTAGCCACTATATATAATAATATAATATAATAATGAGTTTTTTGCATTTTTTGACGTAAAATTTGATTTTTCTATTAGATTAAATAACTTCAATGAATATAAGGGAACCCATTCTCAGAGTCACTCCTTGTGAGAAAGAATTTCTTACTCATAATACACATTTTTTACTGTTTTTTTTAGTGTCTGTCATTCATTTTTTTCACCTCTCACTTAACTAATTTTTTTCAATGGAACGTCAAATTATCATAAATAGTATCTAATTAATGATATTACTTTCATAAATTGAAAAAGATTTCCCCTTTATCAATTACAAATTTCTTAACCAATTTAATTTCTTGTTTTTAAAGTATATATTGTAAAAATAGGTTTGATATGATAATATGTTTCAACTACAACGTTGAATAACATTACATTGTTGCTTATTAATTTTTTAAC